AGTTTTGAGTTGTGGTCCTGAAAGGTGTTTTGCCAACATTGACTTGTGTCTGGAACTATACATATCTTTATCCAACTTGATGAAGGTCCCATTTCCAGTGGAAGAGAAAACCCCAACAAAAGGCAAATTTTCACAAGCCAGTATTATTTAAGTCATTACTCCCCCTTTTTGTACATGCAAAATGTGTCTGACACAGCATTCACACTCACATCCAACCAGACTTTGTGTCCCTCATTCTCCCTCTTGGAAAAATAATGAGAGGCACTAATAACCTTACAGACCTCATGTCGGACTCGTTATGGAAATTTCTTACCCACTGTCTTTGCTTCAGTATCGACTGATAAGGCGAAAACGACACAAAAAATATCTCTGGAAAAGCACTGAGTTATACTACCTCTGCCATTATAACACTGTTTGTTTGTCAGAGGTTGGCTCTACTTCAGCATGGGGACAGAGCTGGACTCATGTCAATTTAACATGAGTTTGAATGTGATCACGACCACAAAACCAGTAATAAGACGATGTACATACTTATGCAACTACATTATTTTGTTTTTATCTTTTTATGAAATAGTTTTTTTTTTTTTTTTTCCATAATTGACTTGTACAGTTTATAGTTAACCTTAAAGGAAGACAGAGTTCCTAACTTATTTACCTTAAGCTCATTTTTTACATAACCAAGAACTGACAGAAAGGGAGTGTTAACTTTTCATACCCATTGGGTTTATTGTGACAGATTAAGTAAAACAGGTAATATTTTTTGCTTAATCGGTCATCATTCCTAGGAAGAAGAGAAACAGTTTTTAACCATCACTTCTAGTGAAGCAGTGTGAGCATGAAAATTGAAAATTACATAATGGACTGTTGTGGAAATCTTATTTTTGATGCATTGATTTAAATAGACCAACCATGTGACTGCTCCTGGTTAAATTGGCATTTAAGATTTTTAAAATAAAAGCAAGGAACTTGGACATGATTTTGTTTTCTAAAATTGTGATCTAGCACTGTGGTTGATGGCACACATAATGTGCTGGCTTCCTTTACAGTCGGGAAAAGCTCTCTGCTGACTCAGATATTAAACAAATTATGCAAATTCAGTGCCTTGAATTAAACAGCATGTATGAGTCACAACAGGTTCGCTCAAATTTGTAGAGCCAACAAATTTAACCAACTCATTATCATTCATTACTCGCTGCATGTGAGAAAAATGAGCCTGTCATTAGGTCTGTGTTGATCTGATGTCTGAACTGCTGGTGGGTAAACCTTATAAACCATCAATTTATGTCATGTCAAACCAATGAAAATATAACGAAATGTAGGTTTATAATTTAAAACATGTTACAGATTGCTTGATATTGAGAGGACACAATCTTTCTTCAAAAAACGTCCAATTCACTGTGAAGACCATTTTTGAGAAAATACATCAATGGCTTGCCATGTATCCAATAGTAAAGATGAAGAACAATCTCACCTATTCCATGCATTTTCATCTTATATGTCTTTTATTTGGGTCAAAAAACCCCAAATAATTTATTTTTGGAATTTATCCGTTGAGGAAGAGGAAGGAAGCGACTTTTGTGGCTTGGAGACTTAATAAAATGGTGCCATACCCAGAGATTTAAAAGCTATCTGTGGTGACGCAAGACTACTGTGATTCATCAGTTCTAAATTAATAGCTGTGAGTCATTACTCCGAGCCACCAGAATAGTCTGCATTATGTAAGGGAGTCATGCAGGGGCCTTTTTGCACACAATAATTAAATGTTTTACTTCGAGGGATCTAACTGCAGCAGTAATGTAGCTGGTAAAACATTATTCGGAAAACACCCTCTTATCAACTTAAACTCTATAAATGTACCTGCAATTAGTTTTCCCAAAACTTACAGACTAAAAGGTCACATCAAGCTAATGGTATCAGACGTGGTCATTGGAAGGGAAGATGAAATACTGATATACACTTCTGGAGTCAAATGTGCTCTGGAGAAATAAAATAAAACTAAAGCTAATAATTGCAAGTAGATTTTGAGCAGTGTTTAGTGAGAGTTGGTTTATTTAATACCGCTGACTGCAGATGGCAGATGTTTTTTCTTTTTTCTTTTTTTTACTAGCAGAGCACGTATAATGAGGAAAACCACACTACAGCAAAGCCTGTTCTCACCTGTAAATCTTTGCACTTAAAAACACCTGAGGTTGCCTCACTGATCTGGATGTTTACTGTGTGTTTGGGTGACCATGACATGAACTGTGTTGTGTCATCCCTCTGTTATAAATGCAGGGCCAAAAAGTCTTCAAACAGAAAGCCCTTCTTTTGGTGGGTGAGAAGGAATCTGTCCTCTTCAAACTCTCTTTTGCAGAGTGCAGAGGATTTTTGCAGCAAAAATTGTCACTATTTCCTTCGTCTTTGTCACCAACAAGCAGCAGCAGATCCAAATGAAATATCTGAATTAAAACTGTTTTTATCTGTATAGTAGAGTGGATAGAAGCAGTCCTCCAGAAAAAGGATATAAACATCATGTTATTATCCATACATATCTTGGTGTAGTATTTAAAGCCCCCCTTTTTTTTATCAAAAATGTTTATTTTAAACATACTTTAACCCATCTTGAGGAAATTGAAAACGGTTGTGATTTATTTGATTTCAAATCTTTAAGACTGTTTTGTGGCTGTGAAATGTATGGTGTCGAAAAGAGAATGTAGCATTATGACTTGACTGAGCGGCAAAATAAGTCAGTTTATTGTTTTCCACTCATTATACAAAGCAGCTTCCAAAATTCATCTCTGTCCTTCATCCAGCTCCACCTATATGTATTTTAAGACCACACCTTCTCAAATTGACCACTCATCCAGAAAAACAAAGTTAACTTTATTTTATACTAATAATGACAATAATTTGTCAATAATGACATATAAAGCAAACATGTCATGTATATGAACACAGCAAATAATTGTTATTCAGCAGTTTACTTCCTGTTGTAGTAAACTGCTGAAGTTGGTAGTTTAAGTCTTAAACTACCAAGTTTAAGAATTAGAAATAACGTTATGATTTAGAGTAATGTAGTTCTATATGAACCATTATTGGCATCCACTTTCTGCTATGGATAACCACTCACTCGGGGTGGGGGGGGGGGCTTGTTGTCCAATTCAAAATCAACATGAATTAAGGAGGCGTGTCTTGTAGTTGCTGCGGCTGGAACGAGACCTTTCCCACATGTAGCTGCAATACAATATACTTCTACAGAGGACACACCAACATGTCTGTCAAACATTTTACTAGCGCAATGGTGCAGAATGGAGTGTTTACAATCCATTTTACAATTTTCAAGAATCACTTTGAAGACGTAAGTGCTTCCTAAAAGTGGCTCTAAAGTATATTTGCTCTGTTAATATACAATAAATATATCTGGCAAGCATTATTAGCAGGTGTGTTTTTCTTTGGAAAGTGCCTTGGGATGATGTTTGGTGCTGCATAAAAAAACTAAGCTAAATTGAAAATAAACATTGCTCTTAATCCTGCTTCCTGCTTCCTGTAAAGCAGTTTAGTGGTACTCTAAAACAAACCTATCCTTGGAGAATGGTCTTTGGTCCTGATTATTTTTTATTTTTTTTATATTTGTCTTTTTACTTTTTGTACTTTGTGCTTCATTCACCTTGAAGACAGCTTCAACAGCTGTGTTCCCTTTTTACCCTTAGGAACTTCATTTACCAGTCTGCTCATCTGTCTGTCTGTCCAACACGCCCATCCACCTATCAGCCTATTGTATGTGCGCCAATATCTCCTACAGGCGTTCAGGGACAAACTAATCTGATGGAAAGACGAAGCTGTGATTTCTGGCTCTGCACAAGAACATGTCTCACTTGAGCGGTGATGCGGTTTTATAGCTCCCATGGCACAGAGGAAAACATTTAAAAGGCAAGGCTGAAATGAGCTTAGCACACTTTATTACCCCTCTGCAAACAACTCAAGTGTCAAGGAGCACATTTTTGATTCGGTAATGTTCACAGGCACACTGGAGGATAGGAGCAATTAGTCCTGAGAAGCACCCATTGGTGGTACATAGCTAAACAATGCAAAGGTTTAATTCAAGTGAAAGGGGGAGAAGAACAGTACTTTGAGGTATTAAATTAAAACTCAGATCTCATTGCTCTACACCCGTCATTCATGTTAAACTTCTCATACGTATCTTCTTTGGAAGATCAGGGTTTCATTGGATGTTGTTTAAGAAGTGGTTGGTTGTAGTCTAATAACCTAAGACCAGAGCCTCTTTTTTGGTAATTTTTAGGAGGGTTCTCAAAAATGACACAGCCCCCCAAAATAAATTCCATATATCTCAGGAACTACAAGGTGTATATGAATGGTTCAGATTACATAATTTACACATTAAGCAGTACATAGTAAGCCCAACAGAATAAACCTTCATAGAGGCATATAAGGTGATGAACAATTCGTATCAACAAAGGTGTCAAAATAAAGTTAATATTCCAGAGAATACTCAAGACGTCTAAAAATCAACATTTGTATTACTGAGAAAGAACAAATGCATATGGCACCCAGTAAAAAAATACAAAATAAACATAAATTCTAATGAAATACATTACGTAATGTGGATTTTCCTTAAAAGCATGCAGTGGGAACCCAGAACCAAATTTAATTCCAAAACAATAGACATTTTATAAAGGTATTGGTTGATAAAACAAACTTCTCTCTTTATTTATTTTAACCCCCAGTATCTTACTATAAAGATTATTTGCAATTAATAGCAGTGATTTAAAAGAAAAAAAACAATCAATAAAATTGTGAATTACTACTAGTCGGAGAACCAAACCTACGGGGGAGATTTTCTGCAGCCCATTGGTTGATTTAAGTGATTGACACATCAAACAGCCAATAGAATCATAGCGACAATATACACCAATCACGAACGAGCTAAAACGTATTTGCGTAAACGAGCGGAAAGCTCCAGCTGAGCGCGAACTCAGGAAGTCGTTTGAGTAAATAGATGGTATCCATGGAGACAGAAAAGTTGAATATAGTGAGAATATAGTGAGATATAAAAGTGTGACACAATATATTACAATACCTCAGTGGAAATATTTACTCTGACATGGATTATGACCGTGACACAAAAAAGGTAGGACTGAATTTATGTTTTTAGCTTCGTGAAATTAGCTACGAAATTAGCTGTGTTTTTGTCTTCTTTGGCTGCTGGTTCAGAGTTTTGCACATAGCCTGGTAATTCTGGTATTGTTGGAAACAGCGTAGTCTGGGTTTTAATCTGATTAGTAGTTTGTGTGGGCAGGACCTTGTTGCAGTGTGGTTGCTGCTGGTTCACCAGGTGAGTCAAATTAGTGCCTAATTGTTTTTGTTGTTTGTCTTTTTTTAAATTCTTAGTATTTGAGCTGGGTGTTGTTGAGGTAGAAAATTTTGTTATTATCATTTAAATGAGCTTTTGCCAATTACATAGATGTGCAATATGCCTACATTGGCTTAGCAGAAGTAATGCAAGAGCCAATATTGGGTCTGTTTTGGACTATAGTGTTAGAGACATGGGGTAGTTGTTGTAATTGATGGAACCAAAGAATCCACTCTATGCAAGAAAATCCTGAAGATGCAGAAGGGTGTGAAACTCACTAGGAAGTATATTTCTGACTTGGAAGATTTGACAAAAAAAAAATAATATATATATATCTTGCGAACAACAAAATGAACAGCAAATCGAAGGATAAGATTCACACAGACAAAAATTCAGTTAAATATGTAACTGAGTAAGATCATTTAAGAAAGTTAGATTCAAGATTCACAGGGCGACTGTGGCTGTATGGCAAAGTATTCATCTTGCAATTGGAAGGTCGTAGGTTCGATCCCAGCTTCCTCCTGCCACATGTCGATGTGCCTCTGGGCAAGGGACTTAACCTCAAATTGCCTTCTGGTCTGCGTATTGGTGTATAAATGTGAGTGCGAATGGGTGAATGGGACTCTAGTGTAAAGCGCTTTGAGTGGTCAAAATGACTGGAAAAGTCATTTCAGTCCATTTACCATTTCAAACACGTGTGAAAGAATCAAGTCACTCCAGGCATGTTTTTGATGAGCCAATAACACTATAACATAATATAAAGCTCAAAAAAGTTAATTATACATATTACCCCCCTTTAAGGATGGCCTTACACATATTTTTATGGCATTCAAGTGCAATTAACAGGACCTGCATGTGTATGTTGACTTAACAGTCATGCCACAACATCTAGTGGGTCTTAAATGCAGCCTTTGACTAGGCCATTCATTCTCAATGCCAAATATGAAAGAACTGGCTATTTTCATGCTAACATGCTCAATGACCTTCGAAAGTGGCTGAAATGAAGCTACTCTGAATAAGGGACCAAATTCCCACCCCAGCAATATAAAATGCTAATTACTATAATTTATGTTTTTGAACTGGTGTTTGGTTATGATGGCTACAAAAAAAATAAAAGTTTTTATGTCAATGAATTTATTGAAGTATATGGAGCGTACTTTCTGACACATTTTATAGCAACTCATCTGGATACAGTCTGTGTCACTGCAGAAGAGTTATTATGCAAATAAAGTTCTAGTAAGACTATTTCTGTGTTCCTGCGGAGAAAAGTAATGAAAGTAGTTGTGAACAGCTGTGTGTGCTTGGGTCAATACATTATTATGGCCTTGCTTCTGCAGTGGTTGGGTGGCATAAACATGTCAGCAGTCATTACAAACACAAGACTGATCAAGGCTCTGAGAGTGTTTGCCCCTGCTGAGCAGTAGGAGTTCTGTTTTTATCATTTAAATCTGAGTTGTCAAACCAGATTCCCAGCAACAGTGACCTGAATATGTCACTGTGCAGATGATGAGTAATCATCTCAACGATCTCACTCCAAAGTGCGAAGGTCAATAATAATGCTTTTCAAAGATTTGAAATCCACAGTGGTAATTCCAAGTAGGGCACGTTCACCTGCGCCAACAAGGACAGTGCCCCGCTGACTCTGTGGTGATTTGTCAAAGCAAGTGGAGTTTCAGCTGTGAGACAAATACCACTTCTCCAGTCATCACCACATCCAAGGAGCAACACATTGTCAAAGGCATTGCAGTTTGCATAGTTCTTCTTGAGCGCATGCCATGTTTATTTAAAGGAAGCGTACTGACACACAAATTCTATTCTGAGTGTCCTTGTTATGATCAAAACCCAAAACCTTCACACAATTCAAAAAGAGAGAATGAATTTTCCTATGGGTGAAAAATGAGCCATGATCTTCAAAAATTACTTTCAACTTGGCTTATGGAGACGATGGATGTACATCGTGTGGGTGTGTGTGTGTGTGTGTGTGTGTGCGTGTGTGTGTGTGTGTGTGTGTGTGTGTGTGTGTGTGTGTGTGTGTGTGTGTGTGTGTCAGAGCCCTGAAGTTGTCACTGATTTCACACTGAAAGAGACCTGAGAAAAAGTTACAGCAGCACCTGGGCATTGAGGTGTTAAAGTTGATTAAAGGTGTTCTTTGAATAAAATTTCTTTTTCTTTTAAACATATACATTTTTTTATTTTAATGACAGCATGCATGGTTTTATAATAAAAACGTGTCATGAAGTAGAGGATCTACCTGCTTCTGAAATAATAGTTGAACATCTGTAATAGATCCTACATAAAATAATAAGTTTCAAAAACTTGAATCATATCCATTAAAAACATCCTTAGTTTTGTGACGTAGCTAACCCACCTGTCAAAGAAATTACTTTTCCTATGTATGAATATGCAATATACATTCATAATCATTGACCTTAATATTTATTTTATGTAATCAAAGCACATTAAGGTTAACAGTCTTATTTAAATTCCAGACAACACCAATGAAAACAAATTGCTGTACACATGATTGTCAGCCTTTGACAAACAGTTTTATTGTTATAAGGCTGTTAATGATGGTCTGCAAAACTTGCATGGTCAGTTTTAATGACATTCTCATTTTATTTACTTCCTCCAGTAATGATTTCTTTGACAGTGATTGAGTTTCAAGGTGAATCTTCACAGGTATACTATTCCACCTCCTAAATCCCAGAAATATAGGAGCCATAACCCTCAACTAATAAAGTACAAGCCTGCATAAAAAGACCTACTTTTTTCCCTTTAAGGTAACCTTTTTTCAGTTTTTGCTTTGAGTATTTAGAGCATGTTCTTTCAGCAAAGAGTTGAGTTATTCACCTTGCATCTGTGGCCTGATGCTTGAGGGTAAAAACCATAAACAGAAAACACGAGTCAGGAGTTTGTAAAATGTTGCAGCACTTTTCCGAGACTTTGAGATGAGTCCAGCAGTTCGGTTCAACACCAGGCAACAAACATATATGACACATACTGTAGATTAAGGAAAACAAGCACAGTATAACCTTTACAACTGTTAGACACATAAAAATCAATCAAACTCATAGTTTTAAAGAGAATACAAATAGATTTATACCAGTTTAGGTTTTAAAGTTGAAACTTTAGCATTCATCATGTAAATCATCTCATTATTTTTCAAATATTTACGTTAAAACCTTTTGCATCTACAATGTTCGCTTTTCTCTTTTCTTTGCTCAATATGATTTTTTTTCCCCAGAGAAAAGTCAGACTAGATGAAAATGCTTCATAATCCTTGTCAGGATTTTCAAATTCATCATAGTTTACTAAAGCCAGCAAATCGTCTTTAAAGTCAAAGCCTCATGTCAGTCCCAGCTATTCACTATGATTCCTGCAGTGGGGCAGTCATGAACATTGAATAAAAATAATTTTTACTCAGCTGAATATGTTTACTTTTTATGTGGTGTAATGTGATTTATCAATGTAATTAATGGCAGTTCATACAATTAAATGAGCTTGTTTCCACAAATTTAGATTTCACCTCGAGTTCTGATTACAATATTTCCACACGCTCAGTGATTTCTATTCGGCACAGATTAGGAATCTGGAGGGACTTAAAATCTGCTCCCCACCTTCATAAAAAGCTGTTTGCCAGTTAAGTGGAAAATGATGATCATTAGAAGTAATCAAGATGGGCTTCTTTGCCTGTTGCAGATAAGTTAAGAAGCTTTAATTACAGCTCCAGGCACAAGGGCTTTTCTACAGAGATTATATAGTATAGAAGGGGATAATTTAAACAAGATTTTTAATGCAGAAATCATCAGGAACCCATTTGGGTTTTTTAGACATGCTTCTATATTAAAGAAGACTTTAGAAACACATTACACTCTCAGTGGTAAAGTCTGCTCATCAGGAGTGCTTTCAGTCTATTTTATCTTTTTATTTGCAATGTTATTCTCTAAACATGGTATTGCTGCTGCTTTTCACAGAACATATGAGATACCGAGATGTTGCTGTTGATAAGCTTCCGGCTGACAGAAACTCATACTTCAAACTGACCTCATTGCAATGATTGGGCCAGGGTGCAAATGCACTATGGAAAACAATATTTTTTCTTCTTGTAGTTTGTCATCAGCTTGACAGAATTGGTGTACACCTGAAACATTATGAAAGAAGAAAGAATAATAGCTCAAATTTAAGAGCATTTCTCTGACAAGCAGTCACAGCTGACTTCAGCAATTTCCGGGCTCTGCATGTCAAATGTAACAGAGCATCACTGAGCATACTGGCAGAATAGATTTGTCACATTTTCAATATACAGTAATAGTGTGACTTTTTTCAAATAGTTTATTTGAAATCCAATTTAATACAGTTTTGTGAATCTGAATATTTAAAATCTGAATACAGCTGCTATACTGGGAGAATGCATGAAACAGTGTGTATTGTCCTAAAGCTGTAAAGGTTGTTTCCAGGCTCCATTTGTTATGGAGGCTTTATGGACAGAAGCAGATAATGTGAATGATATTATCACCCATGTCTGATTGCAGGTAAAAAATAAAAAATAATGCACATAATACATAGAACATCCAGAAATTATTCTCACCACATCCTGTTTTGCACATTTTCCTCACTGTTTTCCTCATTCTTATTGCAAATTGCATTAAATGAATTGTTTTTTTCCAAATCCTACCCCAATGTCAAAAACAATTTTATTAATTTATTAGAAATAGAAAATAAATAAAAAAATACATCACATTTATATAAGGACTCACAGCCTTTCACACGAAGCTCAA